AGAGGCAAAGAAGGGGAGTGGGGGGCGCTGATGGAGACAGGAAGAGCTTCCTGAGCTGTGCTCAGCTAGAAATGGCTGCACTCACTGCAGACACTTGCTCTTGTGCAGTAGAGCCCCTGAGCTGTCACCCAACACCAACGTCCACTAATTCTGACTTGTCCGAGGGATTTACCCAGCGATGCACAAACAAAATCTGCTGAGTTCCTCACACCCGGACCCATGAGGAAGCTTCTCTGGAGCAAGGACCGCACAAGAGCCCAGCCTTTTCAGTCAATGGTCTTATGTCAGATAGATTTTAAAAGTGGAACATCACGTTCCTCTGTTAAAAGCCTGGATTCTGCATCGTTGAGAACCGCACAAAAGCTACGGCAAAGCCACTCACAGGACAGACTCCTAGGAAGTGGCAATCTTGGTGTCCGCTCTTTGGTGATGCCCGTGAATGGACCAAAGCTGTGTGTGGCCCCTGATTGAGGCCCCTGAGCTGTTATTGCAGAGGGGAACCTGAGCAGGGGGAGACCTCGCAACCCTCAAGATACCTCTCTCATGTTCTGCCTTGATGAAGTTGTGGTGGTCTTTAGGGGATACTTTCAACAGAAACAGTGGTTTCTCTCATTGAACATCTGCAAGGAGGTGAGAGTTACCACCCAGTGTGCATTCACCCTTGTCTCCATTCCCTCACCAAGGAGTTCCAGGCTGAGTCTCTTATGCAACGAGGAAGCAGGCAAGTCAGCTGTGCCAGAAAAGGAGGTGATGTAGGTTGCAAAAGGAGGGATCATCAGTGGTACAGTTCTGCTCACCAGCAAGCACCCTGTCCAGATGCCTCAACACACACACACACACACACACACACACACACACACACACACACACACACACACATCCAGGAAGCTCAGGGGCTTTCCTCTCCATTTCTGCTCCCATTTGCCAAGCAAGGCAACAGAAGCATTGTGAGCAGTGATGGATGGTGAAGAGTGTGCACAGACAGGGTCAGCTGAATTAACCAATCAATAAATAACAGCAAGTCTACAGAGGGAGGATGGGAGAACAGACAGGAGTAAGGAGAAAAGGTACATGCTTTTCAGTTGTGGCCCTAGGATGTCCCTATTGAGACCCCCAAGGACGCCAGGAAGGTGGCTGCTAGGGACTCAGCCCAGTGTTCAGGACTCCAGGGAGGATGCTGGTTGTTAGTGGTCCTGAACCCAATAGTCTGAGGAAATAGAAGTGAGCACCCGTCCCACGCCTGGCACACTCTGACTGATGCAGAGTGCATTTGAAAAGAGATTGTGAGAGATACAGCAAAGCGGGACGCTGGTCGAGGTCCCCGTTTTCCAGTTGGGGACCTTGCTTCATGTCAGCCAATGCATGCAATCCTTCCTCAAGTTCAAAGGCACGTGGAAGTAGTTAGACCCGCTCCGACCATCCCTATCACCACGGAAGGTAATCACACAGGATGATGAGAGGGCTTCCCTCCTGCCGCCAGGTTTCTGTGGGAGACCTCGGCAATCAGAAGCTTTGCCCGCCATCATCAGGGAGCTTTGGGAAGAAAGGGACAATGGGGATGTCATATCAAGTGGCAGGCCAGGCTTCATGCAAAGGCGAACAGTGCTGGTGTGGCCCAGTGTGGCTCTGCTCTGGAGACAACTGTCACAAACGTCCCAGCCAGTGTCTGAGCTGGGAATGAGGCTTACAGTTCAATGGCAGCCTGTAAATGACTTCTGGGAAATGTCCACCTTTTTGAACATAGGAGAACATAGGAATCTCCACGATTTATGTTCCCCACCCCAGAAGTCAAAATAACTGCCATTATTCCGAGGTTAGACCTTTCCCAGTGTCGTCCCACTGTCCCCCAGCTAGGGGAGAGCAGTGGGGAAGTACTCCCACCTTGGAGAGGCCTGAGACTTGCTCGGTACCCTGGGAGAGTCGGACAACTTTGTCAAATAGATGCTACCAAAATGAGGGCGCAAGAGACTGCCGGCAAGCCTGGGAACACCCCAAGTCCAGCCCCGGAAGCTTCCAGAACAAAATGGCTCCAGTGAGACACTGGGGCTGCAAGTTGAGAGCGAGATGCGGTGTGTCCATCCTTAACGGGTTGCAGCGTCATCTCCCCTTGAAGATCCGAATCTTGTTGATGGCTTCCAGGGTGGTGGTGACGTTGTACTCAAAGTCGGCGTCATGTACCCCGGTCTTCCGGAATGCGCCCGCAGATGGGTTGTTTTCCCAGTAATGGTGCCAATTCCCCTTGCTGTCTGCCCCGAAGCCGTACAAGTCCACCTGTGGGGCAAGGGCAAGATGAGACTCGGATAGTGTGACCATGGCGAGAGGGGGTCAGGAAAGGCAGCCTGCGGTTATCCCTGGGATTTTTATGGTGAACATTCATGGTTCAGGGGAACCTCCTTCAGAAAGCCAAAGCAAGCCAAGTAACGCTCAAGTCCAGCTCCAGGGGTGACCTTAGGTAGGTGACCCTGAGGGGGACTGAGTCTTCACTGGAGCTCCCAGGGGTCCTGAGAGAAGTTGGGGAGAGGGGCTTGGAAAGGAGGCAAACTGTCCCTCATCCAAGCTAACTCTTGACACATCATTTCAGAGTCTTATTTTCTCATGCAGAAAGGAGGCCAGGAGTCGTGAACACAGAAGGTAGGTGACAGGTTTCCAACCCCTCCTTCTGAGGCCACTGTCTGAGGCCGGGGTCACCACACACATGACAAACCCTGGTGGCTACTTCTTTTGCACCTAACAGTGTGCCGACAAATCAAATGCAGGCAGGCTTTCTTTCTTGCTACTTGGCAGGTACTGGGGACATACCCATCAGGCTTCTACCCTTACAATGTATGGCAGTCACAGACGGGATGTCACTTAGAGAGACAAGGGTTAAATCCACAGCTCCCAGGACACTGTGGAAAGGCCACAGACCCAAGGCGACAGGGGCCTCTTACAAGGAGGGGACATACGAGTTGGGTTTTAGTTGGTAGATAGCTGGTGACCAGTAAGGAGACACTCTGAGGACCATTAAGAGAGAGCATACCATCTAGCTGTGGGCTGGAGGACAGATTGGAGCTAGAGAGGGGTGTGTCCAACAGAGCAGGGATCTTTAGGTGGGACGGCAGATAGGAGATGGGAGCAGGTCTCCGAGGGTCCCACTCTGGTCTCACAGTTGGTGAGTAATAGAAGCCCCCTATGCCTGGTTAGCTTCCTAGAAATTCTGGTGAAATGGGTCAGGATATGGCCCAAGTACTGAACGTAGTTCCCTGGTGGCCCTAGCAAGCAACCTGAGGGTGGTAACTGTGGCCTTTGTATCTCTTCCTGTCTAACCTGGTTAGAATCTGCTTCTTCATTCTGAGCTGAATCAGAGCCCAGCCACCCTCCCTGGAATGTTCCAGAATGCCTGCTCCTGGGCCCAGCCTCATTTTGCTGCCCACTCTTCCACATACTTGGTGACACAGGTGCCAGAGACCCTTGGAGAGATGTGGTTGGAAAATGCCTTCTGCCCCCACCCCTATCTTGAACTCCCACGGAAACAGGGCGGGGGTGGAGGTGGGGAGGATGGGTAGCCCTTGTTCCTGTAGCCTGCAGGAACACAGGCTGACATACCTCATCACAGACATGAATGGAGAAGATGACGGAGAGGATGCCGGTTGATGGGTACCGCCCATGGCCCTGAAGCCAGCTGTCAAAGACGTACTTGATGAAGGCTGGGTGGTAGATCAGGATCTGCAGGAGAATGGACTGGGTGAGTACAGCCAGCAAAAAGACACAGAGCATCGAGCGGGTGCTATCCTGCTGTGATCGTAAGAACATGGTCACGTAGCGCTCTGACAAACATCTCTGCATTTATGGACTTAGAGCTGGGAAGACTACAGATATCCTGCATCTTTACAAGGTAGGGCTGAAGAGTGATGAGGGCTACAGGCAAGAATAAGCACGGAACGGCTTTATAGCGCCGGGCGAAGCCTTGAAGTGGACAGTGAGTGGTGTTGAAATATTCCCTGGGGGCGGGGGGTGTCAGGGAGTGTGACCCACAGCTCCACAAGTGCTCCAGGAAGCACTGTGAGCAATCATGACAGTGTCACACTGTATTAAAAACACCCATGGGTCACCTGTTCTGCCTGGCATTGGCTGGAATCTCTGACCTAAGGTAAACTATGTGTGTGACTTTCTTCTCCCCTTATGAAGAAACCAAGGTTCAGAGAGGCTAAGCAGCATGTTCAATGTTGCACAGCCATGAAGGTCTCCCTGTGCCAGGCACAGTCTTGACCTCATTCCCTGCGACTGCCTTGGGGGCACTGAGGGGGACTTTGGGAGCAGCGAAGGGTATAGGCAGCCTTACACTATTCCTTTGGGAAGGGCTGAATGAGTGGGTTCACAGGTCTGTGGAGGGCTCTTCAGTTCTCATTTTTGCTTCAGGGCATTGGGGTCTTAGGAGAGAGACCCACCCTATGGAGATTTCTATGGCTTCTTTATGGGATTGTGGTACCCAAGGCACATGGGAACCCCATCTAGTCCTAGCATGTGATGGGGGATGCCCTTCTGTATCTATGTTTCTCTTATTGGTTGATGAATAAAACACTGATTGGCCAGTAGCCAGGCAGGAAGCATAGGTGGGGCGACCAGACGAGGAGAAGGCTGAGAGAGGAAGGCAGAGGGAGGCCGCAGAAGGAGACGCCATGCTGCTGAAGGAGTAGTATGTCGGATTACGGGTAAGCCACAGCCTCATGGCAATACATACATTAATAGGAATGGGTTAATAATTAAGAGAGAGCTACCCAATAAGAAGCCCTAGCCATCGGCCAACAGTTTTATAATTAATATAGCGTCCATGTGTTTATTTGAGGCGAACTGGCTGCAGGACCAGGCTAGAAAGAAACTCCAGTTACAAGCATGATCTAGGCTGTGGCCCTGGGCATAGTACTGGCCTCTCTGAGCCTCCTGAAGTATGACAGTTGTGTGAAGATCCAGTGTGATGTGTTTTTCACATATGTTTCTGCTTTTGCACACACCTGGGGCAGTGTAGTATATCCACCCCCCCCCACCACACACACACAAGGACGGAGGTGTGGAGAGAAAGAGGTGAGTATGGCTTTGGGAAGCTCCCAGGAATAGTTCAAATCAAAACAAACAAAACAAAACTGCAGCCTACACATGCCCTACCCTTCAGGGGCTTGTGAGAGCTGGTCTACCCTGGGCCAGCTGTAGCAGGTTTGGGTACTCCTGAAGAGTCACACCTGTGGTGGGGATGTTCTGGAGACCCACTTTGAGGACTCGTCCTTATCAGTGAGGCTTCACAAGTGCCAGGGACTGGGTACTCTGTGTAGCTCTGTGCCACAGAGTACCCACATCTTGGAAAAGAAGTCGCTCGAGTTAGAGGCCACTTACCTTCTCTTGTTTCACTTTGATCTTCGGGGGCACAGGGACGTAGGTGCTGCAGATCAGGAAAGAGAAAGGACTTAATGTGGATAGGAGGCCACCTGGGTACCACAAGCTCTGGGGAGTGACAGCCAAGGTGAGGGTAGGGAGGTTTAGGCTCTCAGAAACCACCTTCCTGCCAGAGCATGGCTCCTGCAGTAGCTCCAGAGTGCCACCAGGGGGCGACCCTGACTGATTTGGGCCAGAATGGGGACTTGGCTCCAAGCACAGCCTTTCCGAGGCCTAGGGATATTTTTCTCCATCTCGCAGAGTCAGAACATCTCTGGTGAACTGACTGGGTGACCTATGGATGTCTCCAGCTCATGCAAGCAGACAGGAGCTACAGCATCAAGGTGCAAAATCCACTACCCATGGAACATAACTGGTACAATTCAGGCTCCCCATGTATCTGGGCACCAGAGGGGCACCTTGAGCCAGCCGCTTGGCCCAACCTCTTGCTGAGCCCTTCCCTCACACTCTGTCCCCTAGAGGCATGAAGTTCCTGGAACCCACAGTTCTTGGCTCTGGCTCGGCTCCCGAGAGACCTGGGCTAGGACCAGGAGTTATGTGGACATCTGAAAATGGAAGCCACTCCCCTTCGAGAAAAGCCAGGGACTGAGGAATTAGACCCAGATGGTTGCATGGGCTATCGGTCAAGTTCAGTGTTGGGCAAGTGCTTTGGCCCAACCATGGTTGCTCCCTGGAGGCCAGAGCTAATGAGAAGCACTGCTGTGAGGACCAAAGGAGATGCCAAAGTTTCAAACGATAGGCGCCGTGCCTGGGGAGCAGATGGCAGCACTTACTCTTGGAGAACCAATGTTGACTTAGCCTCAAAGTATGTGCTCAGCAGCCCTGCTTATTCTGTGCTGCAGTCTAATAGCAAAGGGCTCTCAGGACTGAGGCGAGACACGCAGCTACCACAACAAGGGGCTCTCAGCACTGAAGACAGACAGACATGGAGCTACCACATAAGGTGCTGTCATAATTGAGGATGGACAAGCCAGTAGGATCAACCAAGGAGATGGCAGGAGCAGCTCCATATGTACCAGGAGGCATGGAGGAACAGGAATCCCAAGGGGGCAGTCCAGCAGGAGAGAGCCGTGGCAGGAGACAGATGGGCACAGGGAAGTCACTAGAGAGACTCACTGAGTAATGGTGCCGGTAGTGGTGGCACTGATCACCCACTGCAGGTCGGTGGTCTTGAAGGGGACCAGGACCATGCTGACATTATCTCCCAGCTCCCGGAAGCTCTCGGGATACACAAGATGGTGGGTGGTCTTGCTCCCAACATCTGCCTCAAAGCCCACCGTGGGTGCCCTGTTCATCCTGGGAGGAGAGGAAAACAGAGCACGAGGTAAGAAGGCTGTAGCTGGAGTCCTCTGAATGATAACCGCAGGTGAGCCTCTTTGCTCCCTAGGCCTCAGTTTCCCCATGTGAACAATGGGGACACTCTAGACACAGGCCAGACAAGCACGGTAGAGCAGGTCTGAAAACCCCGCTACTGAGGTTGAGTCAGGAGGATGGCAAATTCAAGTCCAGCCTGAGAAACTCGGGGGAGACAGCTTGCCTAGCATGCACGAATCCAAGTTCCATCCCTAGTTCAGCAAAACAGAGGCCACCAAGGCTTTTTTGTTTGTTGGCCTTTTAAAAAGATTTAGTTATTTATTATATATAGTGTTCGGCCTGCATGTACGCCCGCTGCCAGAGAGGGCACCACATCTCATTACGGACAGTTGTGAGCCGCCCTGTGGTTTCTGGGAATTGAACTCAGGACCTCTGGAAGAGCAGCCAGTGCTCTTAATTGCTTCATTAACTCTCCAGCCCCTGGTTTTGTTTTTGTTTTTGTTTTTTAAGTAAAAGCAAGTGGGGGTGGGTCTTGCCCTCTAGTAACTGACCACCTGTGTGATTGCACCTACCAGGTGAACCTTTTTTATGATCCAGAACCCAGACAAGCTGTCTACCAAGATACACCTTTGAACTGAAGTCAGCCTGACCCAAACACGACTTGGCCTCTCATTGTGGGCATTCCCACTGATACTAGGTATACTGAGAGCCAGGGAAGGGGTCTATGGACATGAAGCCATCTGTCTACCCATTCATCATCCATCCATCCATCCATCCATCCATCCATCCATCCATCCTTCCTTCCATCCATCCATCCATCCATCCATCCATCCATCCATCCATCCATCCATCCATCCATCCATCCATCCATCCATCCATCCATCCATCCATCCATCCATCCATCCATCCATCCATCCATCCATCCATCCATCCATCCATCCATCCATCCATCCATCCATCCATCCATCCATCCAGAAGCACAGGCTTCAAATCAGTGTTGCCCACCCAATAGCTACGCCTTAGGTACTAAGTCACCAGCCCATTGGAAATTCCCGCCCAGCCAAGGCTTTCTCATTGCATGATGGGGGAACTGAGACCCAGAGGTCAGTCACTCCTGGGGCCCTGGAACCGTGTCCTTCTGAGCTGAGCCAAGGTGTTTCACGCACCTCTGAGGATCCCTAGGCTTGGGTTAAGGGTCCAGTGCTCACCTCACCACGAAGTCGTGGCTGTCAATCTCAGGCCCATACGAGGAGTCCTTCAGGTTCCCAGAGTTTCCCACGACTGCACAGCGTCGGCAACCCACCAACCGCTTGCCCAGCACCAGGCCCACCCTCCCGGGCACCACGCGAAACAGTTCCTTGATGGTGTCACTCAAGTTGTTAGGTTTCCTCTCCCGTTGGAGCCTCTGGGGCGGAGGACAGAGGGGATGGGTGGTCAGCTTGGCTCCGATGCTACCAAACCCAGCTACTAACAGTGAAGGCACAGGCGGTTAGTGATAGCCACCCCCACCCCAAGACAGGAGACAGGGAGAAAGCTCATGTATCCATTCTACAGGTACTCTCTGGGTACCTACTGTGTACGAGACTAGGGCTTTAGCTGACCTTCAGTTACAAGGGCCAATCCCTAGACACCCAGGACAGCAATAATGACTGCATTTCTCATTCCCAACACCTGCTAAGATCTAGTTTTGCTACTGGTGGCAGGGCAGATGAACATAGACTCAGAGTGTACCCTAGAGCCAAGGCCACGCGCCCTTCCCAGGAGAGGACACCAAAGACACAGGAAAACCATGCAACATGGGAGCAGAGGTTGGATCCTGCAGATGTGGGTACCACAAATGGTCAGCTGCAGCAGTAGGAAAAAGCCATGGGGGTAAAAATCCCTTGGCCTCCAGGACTGTGCCATGTGATCCCTTCTGATGTCTTAACCCACCAGGTGGTGATTTGTCATGGGAGCCACAGGAGGGAAAGCAGTAGGGTTTTTCTCTGACTTACACATAATAGTTGCTCAATAAACAGTTGCTGACTGAAAGAAATGACACCCTGGATGCTGCCAGATGATTGGTGGGCCCTTGGGTCCCCCCAGACCTAGCATTTGCCTCCTCTCACCCTTGCCAGCCCCTACTCTGCTCACCAGCCACCACTGGTACGTGTCCTCTTCCATCAGAGCGTTGTGGGCTGTCAGCAGCGGCTGCATGGTCTTGTTGAAACGCTGGTCGAACCAGTATGAGACCTTGCCCTGGCTGATGCAGCGTGTACAGGTGCAGGGCTGTGACTTGATGAGCTTGCGTAAGTTGTCCGAGAATCCCAGGACCATGTGCTTGGAGAACCAGGCAGTGGGCACCCCGGTGCTTGAGTAGTTCAAGACAAAGGATGTGAGGAAGACGAGGAGCAGGAAGAAAGTGAGCCACTTGAGAGTTCTCTTTCTTATGTTCATCATCTCCCCCCTTTGCTGGGCCCTCTGTGTTGACGGGAGGGTGGCAGAGAGGACCCTGCCTAGTTCTGAGCAGATCCCAGAGACTAAGGAGCAGGTAGCTGTCTCGGGGCAGCTGGGGCAAACCAGCCCGTTGGAGACACGTCTAGGTCTCTGCTCTGGATATCTCTGTGTGGCACATGAGTGTGGTTCATGAGATGCAGTTGTGCCTGTATTGTCTTCCTTGTGGTAAGCGGGTCCGTCTACCTCTTAACCCAAACGCGGCTTGAGACGTTAATCAGGCCTGGGATGAACAATGCTCTCCCCCACGCAAAAGGGATCAGGGTTTAAGCCCCAGCCTGAGTGCACCCCTGGAGGACCCGAAAAAAAGGTCTTGGTGCAGGTTGTGGGGCCACTGCTTGGCCGCGCTCCTCCAGAAAGTGTGGCTCAGGACAGTCTTTAATTAGAGCTTTTGTGTTTCCCAGGCTGTCACCAGGGATGGGAACTTAAAGGACATCTCCAAATAGGTACAGAGGATGACAAACGTCTGCGGAGAAAAGGAGGAAGAAAAGATGAAGCTTTGTGACCTTGATATGGAAACTGTTTCTCTCTCTCCACACCTTTCCCAGAAGCCTCGGGGCTTCCTGTGGGCTTTGATTGCATCTGCTTCTAGCCTGAACTTTGCATCCCAACCCATCAGGGTATGACAGTGCTGTGCCACCACTCCCGCCACCGTGGACGGAGTCACTCTGGCTGCCACGCTTTGCCCACCGCCATGAACCGATACACTCTGAAATCATGAGCCACAGTAAATCTAATCCCCCACCCCCAAGCTGTTCCTGGCAGGTATTCTGTCAGAAAAACAACAATAAAAATACCCTAATACAATGGCAGGAGCTCAGAGCTCAGCTTTTTAGCGTCTCAATTTCCGATTCCTGCTTCTTCAACTCTGAACTTCGCAATTTGCATATGAGCAAGTGCGTCCAATGAGGGAAAAACGGCTCAGAACCCACTTAATCCATCTCTCTATCTTTTCAATCACGTCTCCACTCATCCTCTTGCTGTCCTGGACTCTGCCTCCTGGAAGTCAGCATCCGCTGCCTGCAGGGGGTGGATAGTCTCCACTTCATGCCCTATCCTTACTCTGCTTCATCTTCCATCGCTCAGGGATCCCCACCCTTCAGGCTTTGGCTGTTTCTACCTGGAGCTCTCTGCTTTGCAGCCACCCCGACACTTGGGAGAAAGAATCACATAGAGAGGCCCTGTTGAGCTCCCGTGTGTCCCCTCCACTCTCTACAGAGCAGCTGCTGGGCAGGAAGAGGCAAAGTAACAGTCGGGGGCCTCAACAGCCCCTGCCCTGTCCAGAAGGGCCCAGTAGGAGCTCTTTCTGTCAGACAATGTTTTCACACCCACCTTGACTCATGGCCCAGCAACTTTGGCCAAATCTTGTCTTTCTTATCACTGAAAAGAAGACCTTCTCCAGGCCCTTGGGTGTAATGTGAGCTTTCTGTCCCGGTTGGTCCCACAGCTCTTGAGCCCCAAGTAAACACACACATACTATATTAATTATGAAACTGCTAGCCGATGACTAGGGCTTCTTATTGGCTGGCTCTGCCTTAATTATTAACCAATTTCTATTAATCTATATATTTCCACGTGGCCTTGGCTTACTGGGGAACACCTTGAGCGTCCTCTCTTCCCAGGCTCTGCATGACAACTCCATCTGCCTATGTTTCCCAGAATTCTCCTCATCTTTTAGCTCTGCCTATACTTCCTGCCTGGCCAATCAGCCAATCAGTGTTTTATTCATTAACCAATAAGAGAAACATATGTACAGAAGGACAACCCCCATCACTTGGGTTCTGACTCACTGGCTTTATGTTGCAGAACCAGAAAGCAGAGAGTAAGACCTGGGCCAGTGGAAGGCCTCCCACATGCTACAGAGTAGAAAGAGCCTTCCCCAAACTGTTCTGCAGCCCTGTCCTGCTCACTGGATACTCGGCGCCACCTATTCTTACTATGGAAGTGTTTCACTGGAACCTGGCCAATAGCCCCAGAGTAAAAAAAGTCATAAGCACACCACAGTTCCTGTGTGCCGTGGCCTAGGTCCTTCAACTCTCTGATCCTTGCTTCCTGAATCCAGAGAATAGAGCAGCGCTCTCCAGGTCTGTGTGGAAAGAATGACTGGCACACAGGTGACTGGCTTAGGGCATCACACTTTCTTGAATCCCAGATGCTTCCTGTATAAAATGTAACCCAACAAGACACCTGGACCGTGGTAAGGGCAAGGTTACTTAAAGGACCAAAGGACACCAGTCATCAAAGAACACAGGCCAGGGTAACCCCTTGGCTCTGGTGTCTCCATTCCTGGAGGTGGTGGCAGCTGGCTCTTCAATACTTTCTGGGGACCAGGGAGACATATGATATGTGAGACACATCAATTATTCAACCGGTGAGGGTGGTCACCATGAGCTTCATGGCCGATCCAGTGAGCTTGTAGCTAGTTTTCACACCCCAGGGCAGTGGTTCTCACTTGTGGGTTGCGACCCCTTTGACAAACCTCTTTCTTCAATAGTATTTATAATATGTTTCATAGCAGTAACAAAATTACAGTTATGAAGTAACAAAAATAATTTTATGGTTGGGTGGGGGTCTCCACAACATGAGGAACTGTGTTTCAGGGTTGCAGCTTTAGGATGATTGAGAAATACTGGCCTAGGGGCCCCCTCACAGTGGCTTGGCTCCCACTTTCCACCTGCCTGCCCCTCTAGACTCTACCTATGCTTGGGAGTACAGACACATTGCCCTTTGGAGCCCACAAGATGGACAGATGCATGGAGAGGTCATCACTCTCATAGCTCTGGGCAGCAGCATTGGCTGGGGCCAATCTGTTCTTCGTGCTTTGCAATTCAGGGTCCCGGCTGCCACCTGTTAGAGCTCCGAGCATCCCTGTGCACTGGACTATAACTAGAGCATAGCCTTTGTGCTCAGCTAGGCCTGGGTGTGAATGCTGAGCCTATCTTTCCTCGTCCAGAGACCCTGGGTAAAACAGTCTACCTCTCTGGGTTCAGGTTTCTCCTTAAGACAGAGTGATCACATTTCTTAAGTGTGTGTGTGTGTGTGTGTGTGTGTGTGTGTGTGTGCCTTGCTTTCTAACAGCCTATAGAAATGAGGAACAGAGCTTTCTGGTATTTAACACGCACTAAAAAGTCATCTCCACCAATGCACAGTTAATGGGGATGAAACTCAGTGGGAAAGCCTCTGACTCAGTTTACACACTAGGAAATGAACCATGAGCTTGAACCGGAGTCCTCATCATCAATTTCTCAGATCTGAGAATGATGACTGTAGACACCATGTCCCTCCCTTTCCCGTGTCTGGTATATCTAACTCTGCGCTAAGCAAAAAGTTCCAGGAAGAAGACGCTGGCCTTGGAAACAGAGTCTCCTGAGCCAGATCTGGGGTTTCTGTGTTCTCATGCAGGGGTGTGTCCTACTTCTGCTCTAATACATCATTTGGAGAACCCATGGCCCAGTGAGTCAGAGCTGGAGGCCGCTGCCTGGAGCCCAGTTGCGGAGAGAAATGCAGCCTGACCCAGCTCCTGCACCACCCATAGCCTGCAGCTGAGGAGTCCTGAGTTTCCTGCTGCTGACACTAGGTGACTCGATTTCTCCTGAAGATGTCTCTCCCCACCTACCACTTCCTGGGGAACTTGGGAGACTGGAGACGTTCAGAAAAACTCTAGGATACTGTAGTTAAAGTCAAAGTTTGTGGTGGCTGCTTCCAAATGGCTGTGTCCACTCAGAGGTGTCACTACTGTGTACCAACCCTGCTTAGAAATGCTTCTTGCTGCCGGGTGTTGATGGCGCACACCTTTAATCCCAGCACTCGGGAGGCAGAGGCAGGCGGATCTCTGTGAGTTCGAGGCCAGCCTGGTCTCCAGAGCGAGTGCCAGCCTTCCCAACCTAAAGCCTGAAGATAGATTTGTGTTCTGTGCTGGCTTCCTGAAGCTTCCTGGTCTCAGGGTCCCAGCCAGAGCAGGTACCCTAAATACCTGAGGCCCTCCATTCCCTCAACTTTGCAAAGGACTGGTCTGTGAGGAACACTCATTTCCCTTCCATGCTCTCAGATCTTGGATCCTCAGTGCTTGCTCTGGAGACAAATCCCTAGGATAACATCTCCAACCAAACCTGGCAGCCAGTGGTCACATGTCTACTTATTCCTATCCTGGAAGCCCAACGGACTCCCCATTTTATCTCTGCTTGCTCTGTCCATCCCAGACAGACCTACGACCTGACAGCCTTTGTGTGTATTACACCCGGTGTGATGGACAATTTCCATTGTCAAGCAGGCTGGGTTCAGGATTTACCATGGAAATAAAATAAACCTTACAAAGGTAGAGGGAGGCAGCTGGGGAGATGGCTCAGAGGTTAAGAGCACTTGCTGCTCTTGCAAGGGATCAGGGTTCGGATCTCAGAACCTCTACTAGACAGCACAAACCTACCTGTATGTAACCCCAGTTCTGAGGGATCTGATGCTGACTTACACTCACACATACACACACACATTTTCCCTCCACACACTGCATTAGATAAAGATGCGATTTCTCAACTTCCTGTTCCTTGTCTCCTCTGGCCATTAGCGGCTTTCCTTTCAGAATGTCAAGCCAAAATGAATTCTTGGGTTTTTTTTTTTGTTGTTGTTGCTGTTGTTGTTGTTACTTATTAGTTACAAAAAGTAACTGATGCATCTGCCTTCATTCCTTCAGTTGCCTTTGTCATTTGTGACAGCAGTGAGAAAAGTAACCAGTATGTGAATTTCAAGCAGCCTGGTAAGTCTCTTAGTGGCTTCCTGGAGCCCTGCTTGGTAGAGGAGGAAGTCCAGCTCTGAGAAGCTGACCTTCTCAAACTACATGGAACTGGTGAGAACGAGCAGCCTCTTTTACATTGTATATCATATTATACAATGACGTACAAACCCTTGACTTAAGGAACTTGCTCTGGGTCAAAGCTAGGAAGTTGGTTTCTAAGTCAGTCCTTCTCTCCCCCTCCCCCCATCCAGTCCAGTCCCCTGGAAATCTGTAGTACTCTTCTGACACGGTTGATGTGTTGGTTTGAATGAAATTGTCCTCTATGGTCCCCAATTGCTGACACTCTCTGGGGAGGGTTAGGAGACACCTCCTTGCTGGAGGAAGTGTGTCTCTGGAGGTGAGCTCTGAGAGCTCAAGGCTTTGTCCTAATCCTAGTTCACTGTCTCTCTGCTTTGGGCTTGATTCCAGACATGACACCCCCCACCCCCGTTTCTGTTCCAACTGCCATGCCTGCCTCTGCTCTACCACCATGGACTTTAACTGTCTAAAACTGCAATCCCAAATACACTCTTCTTCTACAAGTCGCCTTGGTCACGGTGTTCTATCTCAGCAATAGAAAAGTAACGAATTCACAGTTGTGGGTGTCACCTTCACCACCAGATGATGAAGCCGAAGACTGGGGCCAGAGCCAAGAAGTCTCATGAAGGCCCCTGTGCTAAATCGCCTCAGAGGGACCA